TAGGTATCGGTGAGGTATCAAGTGATAGAGTATCTACTCCTACTCATGTTACAGAGCTTGTTAATTGTCAAAATATCGCAGTTGGTGATCATCATTCTTTGGCAATCAGTGAAGAAAATAAAGTTCATACGTGGGGCTTTGGCGAAACCTTTGCTTTGGGAGACAAAAGTGGAAAGGATAAAAAATTACCATTTAAAATTAATTGCACAGAGATTGGAAATAAAATTTTATTGACAGGTGGAGGTTCCCAATTCTCTGTTATATTGTCTAATTAATTTGCCCCGTATGAAAAATATATGAAACTGAATTCATTAATCATATGTCTTCAGAAAATGAATAATTTTTTACTTAATTAAAAATTGAATTTTTTTTTAGTTTAATAAAAAATATTATGTATATTTTAGAAATAAACTTTTTTAAAAAAGAATGAAACATTAATTTTTCACATAAAGGTGTAGTTTTATCGTATTGAATATATAACTAAATTGGTTCTGAGAACTTAGCAATCCTGGCCAACCAAAAATTACAAAAACTTATTAAAATGCCTCCTCAACGAAAAACCACAAATAATTTACTTTTTCAAATATAATGGCGTTTATCATAAAGGAATTTTAACAGCTAAAAGCGGTGTAGAAACAAGCAGCAAAAAGCCCCAATATTGTATTTCAAAGTATCATAATTATTTTATTCCGTCACCTATATTGATATAAAAATTAAAGAATCTATAATTATCTGAAAATTTATTTATAGCTATGTCATGTGATCTGACACATTTTAGTGAATTTAGAATTCTAACGTTACTCCTTTTTTTTACATTCTTTATGGTTTTAATTTAAAAAGATTGGTATAAAGTATTAATAAAAATATTCACAAATAAAAGGTTTTAATATTGAAAAAAGTGATTTGGTTCTAATAAATCAATTGACTAAATAAATGGCTTAGAACAGCTCAATATTGAAAAGCTCGAGAGAGAATTGCTATGGGAATTTTCACCAGCGATTTTGATCAACAAAAAATCTCATGAACTTATCAAATCCCATCGTTCCTGTCATTTCAAACCAAAGGATTCCTGTGATTAACTGGAAAATCGATTGGTGTTTTGTCATTAAACTAGTTGTGAGCCGTAAATATTCAGATTTTTGTTATAAAAATGACCTATTTTGCAGGGCATCGATTGGCGTTTCGTTATTAAACCTAAAAATGACCTATTTTGCAAGCTATTTATAGCAAAATCAAAAGAAAAGGACGTTACTACTTATAATTACTTATTAAATACGTAAAAACTTTAAGGAGTTACTTATCGATTGTTTTTAGTCATAAATCTCTATATTGAATAAACAATATCTCAATTGCTTTCCATTAGATCGCGGAATTTTTTGATTTGAGATGACAGGAATCGATAGCATATGATAAGTTCATGAAATTTTTTCATTAGTCAGAATCGCTGGTGAAAATTCCCATAGCAATTCTCTCAGGCTTTCCAATTTAGCACTAGTTTTTAAGCTAATTATATAGACAATTTGATTTTACAAGAAAAAATAAATATTTTGTATTTAAATTTGGGTTGAGTGCTGTTAAATGAACTTCGATTTCGTAAGTAAATTTTCCGAATTCTCTATTTAAAAATCGATATCACGAGTTCTTGCAGGATATCGCTCGCCTTGTTGTGAAGACAGGCTCAATCGTCCAACCCTCCCTCCCGTCTCGCAGTAATCCGTTAACCAAAGACAATACTGGAGTTAGTGCTAATAGGCTCTGCGGCTGCAGTGCAAGAACCTCACGTTTGGCAAAAAGGCTCCTGCTGTAGGCAGCACTAGGACATAACTAGGACATATGGTTGGTGACTGCAGTGCTTTCATGTCGCCAAATAACTACTATATAACCGATTCTCTTCATAGCTATGTAATTCCTTCTTGATAAGATAGCTTATTAAGCCTATCAATAATAGCGAACGGAATTCCCATATGGTATTTTGTGTAAATAAAGTCATCTAATTGAGCAACAATAATCGACTTTTAAAAAATTAAAATTTAATTATGGATTTTATTTGGCCTGGGACTTTTATTCTATTTTTCCAAGAGTAAGGAACTTCTTTTACGCCGATTTCAGAGGAAGTAGATCCCCATAATTGAACATTTAATTTTGTATTTTCAGTAATAATTTCTTCCAATAAGTTGGTGACTTTAGCGTGCATATTAGCATGCGATTTTTCTAAATCATTATTATCACTTTTTATTATATCTAAAGCACTTTTTCTTTCATCCTCTAGAATATGTATTTTTTGCTCAAGAACATTTATTTCTTCCTCTAGAACATTTATTTCTTGTTCAAGAACAACATTTTGATTTTGTTCGAAAATTATATTTTCTTTTACTGCCAATATTTGATCATATAAGCTACTATTATCTGATTTTCTATTATTAATAAAATGATATGATTATAAAACTTTTTCCAACATGAAAATTCATTAAAAGAACTATTTTGAGGATCGTAACCAGGTATTGAGGACTTAATTAGCTTGTTAATCTCTTCTTTTTGCAAATGTTCATCGGTTTGTTTAACTTGATTATACATCGCCTGAACATGGTTTACTCGATAATAAAATTCCTCCCAGTCGAGCTTAATTTGAGTCTGTTCTTTGTGTTGTTTCAATGCAATAAGAACTTGCTGCCAGCCTTGATTGTTATCAATTTTAATATTAGGAGTGTAATCAGGATTGACTAAAGAGGTCACCCCTTTTAGTCTTGAAATGTAAAGATTTGTCTGTTTTGTTTTATTTTTTTTTGGTTCGGCCATTGAGAAGAAAGTGAAATTGGTTGTGGAACCATTTAAATGCTGATCATATATTTGTACTAGTTAAAAAATCTGGACCCTAAAAATGGGGTGGTCAAAAGAAATCCGAGTCGATCTACATTTCTGGAATCAACCATTTTTGTATAACTATACTTCACAAATAATTTCAAGCTTTAAAATTTTGACAACCCCAAATTATGATCAGCATTTTTAATAATAATAACTATGCCAATTTCTGACTACATATAATATAAATTAAAACAAATATGAATTAATTAACTCCTTATTTAACAAGTTCATTTGCGAAAAAAGTCCTTTGCAATAGCGCGCGAAGAATTTTGATTTTGTTATATCATAAAATTCCTGGTAGCGTATTTATAGTTTTCACATATTTTTATACTAAAAATGTTTTAATTAAAAAATTACGCGTTTAATTGCGTAACAGATCAGCATTATATTATAGTATTCATCGTTATCATAAAGTGCTGTATATCATACATAACGCGGAGTTTCGTTTTAATGTTTTGTAAAATAGGTAATACAAATAACCACAGCAAATGAATTAATTATTTCCTTATTTGAACAAGCACATTTATCATTGAACAAAGGCTTTTGCAATAGCGCGCGAAGAATTGGAAACTTTGTATATATCATAGATAAATTTCTGTTCGTCTATACCTTCTTGGAATTTGATTGATTGTTGCGTAGTATTTATTTTTTCCATATTTGTTTTTTTATGCTAAAAATTCTTTAAAAAATTGTGATACTTGATATGTTTTAACGCGTATAATTGCGTAACAGATCTGCTTTATATATTATACTGTAATATATTAATCGTTATCATAAAATGCTGTATATTAT